AGACCGGCTGCTAATCAGAGCCATGGTGTCAAAAAGAGGCCAGCCATGAGCTGAAAGAATCATGGCACTTGGGCTTGCCGCATTTGAATACCCTTCAAGCGGCTCAGTGGGCCGCGCCTTGTGCAGCGGCCTTGTGGGCCGCCAAAAGAGGGCTTTTTGATTCAGGTGGACAGCGCCAGCTGTCCCCAATGGAGGCTCTCTTCTGGAGAAAAAAGGCTGAGAAGCATTAAACAGAGTTACTGTAAACTACATCATACAATCACGATTGTCATTGTGACCATCATCAGAATCATGAACATGAGCCTCATCAGCATTATCATTGACACCGTCAAGACTATCGTGACAGCGCTAGCAGTGTATGCGTTTTTTTGTTTTGAGTTTTTCTGGCCCGAAAAGAAAGCGCATCGTTCCCTTCTCTTTGGCACTCATCATGGATGCAGAACCTGCGCCAACCCTTCAGCAGCCGGGCGAGTCACAAGTCAATCCATCTGTCCAGCCAATCTTGAGTGACGAGAGCCAGCGTCTTATGAGGGAATGCCCAGAAAACCAATTGGGCATGGACACTCCTGAGAAGGTTGGAGAGGAGCAGGTTGAAGAAGCAGAAGTGAGTCAAACTGCCAAGGTCGACTCTCTGGTTCTCATGGACAGCCCTCCCAAAGATGAGGAATTGAGCAAAGTCGTTTGCCAGAAGTGCCAGATGGAGGTGTTTGTGTTCGATGCCCAAGCCAAAGGCAAGACTTGGTGGTGTAAAGCGTGCAATGCCATCAACTCGACACTCCGTCGAAACCTCACATGGCCACCTCCAGAGTTTGCTGCTCTGACCACCGAAGAACAGGTTCAATTTTGGCAACAGTGCCGTGCCATGAGGGAAGAAAGCACTGATGGACGACTTCGGTATGATCGATTGCGTGATGTGCTGGTCAATAGCCTTACCATGGTCAAGACCAGTGAGCTTGCCAAGAGCAGCAAAGGCACTTATCTGCCGTTGTCAGTGTATGCGCAGCAGCTTCGCTGCCTTTGGCATTCGTTTCTTCTGTTTTGTGTTCCATGGATGGCAGTAGTTCATTTATATAGTATATATAGTAAACATAAAACAATTTGATGTATATAAAGAGACTTTTGCAACATTAAAACAATCAAGCCACAGCCCAGGAAAGGATACAACACGAACCAGATCCAGGAGAACGCGCCACAGATGTGGGATCCAATCTTGCAGGAAAAGACCTACATGCTCCCGGTGACGTCTTTGCAAGAGAAAGAGGTGAAACAAAGGATTGAGAGCTCTGTGGCTGCTGCAGAGCGAAGTGTCCGCAAGCGTAAGGTGGACCACCAGCCTGAGGCAGCCAATGTTACAGGCGCTATGATCGTGGATCTGTTGAGCGACAACGAAGACGCGCCGGACACGGAGCAACCGATCCCTGAACCCGAACAAGAACTTACAGCTAAACAGTTGGAAGCCCAAAGGAAGAAGGAGGAGAAGGCGGCTGCACGCAAGGCAGAGCAGGAGCGCAAGAAAGAGAGCCAGAAAGAACGTCGTGAGATGCTGAAGATGAACAAAACCATCGTGAATTTGGCTGGCAAGGCTGTGGTGGAATTGCAGCCTCTGTGCGTGGAGCTGCAGCAGACCTGTGCTTCTGGAGATGACAATTGGCCAGACCTCTTGAAAGAGAATTTGGTGCAAGAGCGCGATGTCCTGCTTGACTGGAAGAAGGCGGCGGCTGCAGCTTTGCAAAAGCATGCCAAGAATTCTGAGGCCAAATTGGAAGCTCTCCCGTTCAAAGACAGCCAAGAGATGATGGTCAGGGTCAAAGCAGCAAAGAAATTTGTTCAGGATGCCAAGTCAGCCTCTTCCAAGAAGAGGAAGAATAAATAAAGGCATCTTTTTGATGCGGCTTAGCGGGCCGCAACTTAGCAAGCTTCGCGTTGCCGCGGCTTTGTGGGCCGCATGAAATGGCTTCAATGGCCGCGGCTTTGTGGCCGCTTGGTGGTTGCGGCCTCGAAGGCCGCCGCCTGGCTTTTTTACCTTGCAATCATGCAGTGACAGGTTCTGTATAGTTCGAACCAGGTCATAATGAGGTCATATGACGACGTCTGAGTTGCATGGATGAGCGTTGAACCTGCGCGCAGAACGAAAATGTCGATCGTGCGAAAGCTTCTGCAAGCCCAGCGCTCACCAGGAGCTTGTTGACGTTCACAGTTGGGGTAGCCGGTATGTGCTCAGAGTAAGGCATGGCACACGGACATGGGTTCTAAACTTCGAATTGTTCAAAAGGAATTCAATCCTCACCAAAAAATGTATCTTATTGCAACTGCATGTATGCCTTTTAGGTTTGGGCCTGCATGAAGTCATCACAAGATGTTTCTTCATGTGATCGCATGTTTTCCTTGTAAAGGGGAGCCTGCATGCCCAAGTCTCGAAAAACTAGCCATGGCCATGAAGATGACCTTGTGCTACGCGAATGCTTGAAAGTGCCAGGCTGCACTGAGAAGGCGTTGCATGGCATTTTGCAGATTGCTCGCCCAGAAGTGATTCCCAAGTCTTACTCAGGTTACAAGCGCAAAGTCCACAAAGAACTACCACACGATTGCACAGTAAAACTGCCAGTGGGAGAAAACAAAGATGGACAGATGATCCATGTGGCTGTGACTCACATACCAAAGTTCTTGCAGCATTTGGCATCCCAGAATGGTGCCTTCGCGAGGAGACTTGTCCACATCATTGACAGGTCTAACGGAGAGTCCTTCAAACCTTTGTTTTATTGGGATGAAGTGATTTCAGGAAACCCGCTAGCACCGCATTCTTCCAAGAAGATTGCCATTGGATACTTTACTATGGTGGAGTTGCAGCAGAGGCACAAAGAGGAAAGCTGGATCCCATTGCTGGTGGCGCAACACAAAAGCTTGGAGACAGTGAGCGGTGGTTTTTCCAGAATGATGCGAGAAGTGGTTTTGTTGGTGCGATCTTTTGATATGCAACATGGCATTCCCTTGGAACTGGATGGGAATCAAAGGCTTCTTCGCATTGACATCATGAAAGCAAATTTCATTGCAGACTTTGATGCCATCAGGGCAACGTACAATTGGAGAGGCAGCGCTTCGATCAAAGCGTGTATAGCGTGCAAAAACGTGTGCAAAAGAGATTCCAATCTTGTTGATGGTGAGAACTATCTTACAGAAATTTCGGAAACCAAATGGTCCAAGTTTGATCTCTGGAGTGACCAGGAAGTTTTTGAGCTTTGGGATATGATGGCCCGAGACACGCCCACAATGAAAAAAAAGGACAAAGAAAAATTTGAGAAGCTTGCTGGCTTCAATTGGAATCCAAATGCTTTGTTCGCTCACGCTGAGGCCAGGGAAATTTTGAAACCAAGTGCCGTGCTTTTTGATCCAATGCATATTTTCTGGGCATCAGGTGTGGCAGCTTGGGAGGTTGTCAACTTGATGTCAGTACTTGCGACCAAGTGCAATTTTACTTGTGAAGATCTAGCCGGAAAAATTCAGGGCACCCCTTGGTGTAGTAGTACGCGAAAAGGGCAGTCCTGGCGAAAGAATTTGGCTGATGCACAAAAGTTCTCTGGTGATGCTTACCGTGGCTCAGCCAGTGATTTGAGAATGCTCATTCCTTTGATGCTTTATCACATCATGGAGTCAATCGACGACACTGAGCCTGTTCAGGCTGAGCTTCAATCCTTTTATGCCCTGGTTAAGCTTCTGGAGACTTTGGCCAGCTTTCAATGTGGGATCTCGAAAGTCAAATGCCAACAACTTTTGAAGCAAACTGAAACCTACTTGGAGCTTTACCTTTTGGCCTATGAAAACTGCAAGCCAAAGCACCATTACCAATTGCACCTGTGTGACATGATCTGGCGTACTCAACTTTGTGTGGACTGCTTCCCACAAGAGGCAAAACACAGGACGTATAAGTATCAACTTCAAAACAGGCTGGATGGGATGCTACATGATCCATTCCTGTTTTCAGAAGGCGTCTTGACGCGTCTTTTGAACAGCCACTGCCGCCTTTTCGACAAGCCGTGCTTGCCTGGTGACCTCACACCTCCAGTATCTGAAAGTCAGAAGCTTGTAGATGGTTCGATGGTGTCTGTGCTAGAAGGCGCCGCTTTAGATCTGGAAGCAGGCCGTGTCTACAAAGATGATTTTGTGATAAGCCCGCGTGGCAGCGGTTTGGTACGAGCTTGTTTGAGATTTCGCGATCGCGCTTGGGTGCACATCGACCTCTACGATAGAGTTTTTTGGACCGTGGATTAGCAAGTTTTCCACCATTTTTCCTCATCGACCTCCATATATACCATGAAAATTTTCCCCTGTTCTATTAGCGGCCCCCAAAGCCGCAGCGGCCCTCAAAGCCGCCGTATGATTGTTGTTGTGAACAACATTCGTTGATCATCTTCGCACGCGTCTAAACAACACCATGTATATAGACCATCATTTTTCGTCTTAAATAACTTAAGTAGCTTTGACGGTCGCTGCGGCTCTGGGGGCCGCAGCAACAAAACCTGTGTTTGAAGTGATTTCGGTTGAATGGTTTCTCTGTCCCACCGCCAAGGTTGAGAGTTGGGCTTGCAACAACGTGACCTTGTGGCGCCCAAAGGGCGACGCGAAACTGGTTGCTGATGCGGATTTTTTCCAGCGCTTGGCAAAAGCCTAGCCACTGGCACAAACGGCAGGACAACAGCATTCTCCTTCTCTGCTGACGACTCAATTAAAGAGAAAACTTGCCTGAAGTTATTTGAAGTTACAAACACTTACAAAAACTTACGGTTGCTCAGATTTTACTAAGTAAGATATGTTTTCATAACTTCCATCTAACTTCTTGTAAGTCTGATATCTACTTATAAGTTCGCTAAGTATAAACGGCCCTCGTTGTAGTTGAAACCGACCCTTTTCTACTTTAGAAGTGGTACTTTGAGTCTCAACCTCAGCCATCGGGATCAAAGCGTCCTTGTGCAGCTATGTCGGATGATGAATCATCCAGCATTGGTGAAGAAACTAGCCTGAACATTACTGTGATGATATTAAGTCTATTATGTTATTCTTTGTCAAGTTCTCCTTGTATCAGGATCATGGCTATGATTATATTCCTCAGCGGATCATTGACTGGTTGGAAGCTGGGCCCACCTTTCTTCAAGATTCTGGACGCTTGGTTTCTTTTACCCACTATGTGTTTGTGGCCAAACGCATTTGAATCTTTTTAGTCCTTTTGGAATTGCAAGGATTAATGCCATGGTTCAGACGCTTTGGACATAGTTCCCAGTTTACATATGCCTCTGACTGTGCCTCTGGCGGCAGTGGTTCCACGAAGTCAGCCTGTTGTGGATTGATGGCTTTGATTAGAATTAGGCAGTGGCGCAGATGGTCCCTTTCAAGCGCTGGACATGCTCTTCACAGCTGCCAGGGTTAGAGATACTTTGGAATTCCTGTCATGTGGCTAAGTCTTAGTAATTTTTGTTGCACTGCAGCCAAGCAAAGTGGAAAACACGTGCTATGACATCCAAGGTCTGCCAGTGAAATCAACAGATCAAAACGGGAATTCCTGGAGATGAACTTCCCAAGTCAAGTGTCTTGACATGCTTTACATGCTTTTGGTAATCCCAGGTTTTGTGAGGACATCTTTGAATCAGAACGCCTTGACATCCATGACGTCGCTTGATTCTACAAAGAATGCAAAAGTCCAGTACTTTTTTGATGACATTGGTTTGATACATTGACTAAGGTCTCTGTGTACTGCGCAGGATTCCCCTGCCAGCCATATAGCCTGTTGTCCTCTACCCGTCGAATGATGTATGACGAAAACAGCAGTCAATTGGTCAAGGTCGTGAAGCGCCTGCGCAAATACAGACCGAAAGTGACTCGGTGTCTTTGTTGAGTGACATCTATGGGTGACATGCTTTTTTGGTGCCCTTGCTAAGAATGACAACTAAGATTGTTGTCCTCGAAAACGTCATGGGTTTCTACTGCTTGGTCGATGCTTTGATTGAAGTGCTCCACGCAAACTGCAGTGGGTATCTTGGCTGGTGGTGTTAGTGGCCATGTGGTTTTACGTTTGCTTTGTGGCATCTTTATTCCAATTGAGGTACGCCATCATGAAATATGTGTGCAGCCCGTGCTTTGGTTAAAAATCATTTACGAAAGGCTGTGATGTGTCAGTCGTCCATGGGCAGCCTCAAATTGTCAAACAGCTTAGGAATGACTACGGCGCTCCACTTTCCCGTCGGCGTGTTTATGTCATCATGGTTCGGCGTGACATGATGATTGCACTTGATGAACCGTTTGATGATTTCATGCGCAGAAAGTTACGTGAATTGCGGCAACCTGTGCAAGTGCGTTGGCAGCTTGACTATGCCCGATTTTGACCATGTTGGACATTGAAAGAGTTTGTTTGCGTTCATGGTTCCAAGGCAAGATTTGCTACTCCCTGACCATCACAAAGACGTCCTGAAGGATTGCCGCAGGAGAAGCAAGATGCGGAAAGCCAATGCCAAGAAGAGACTTGGCTTGGATGCATATCTGTGTTTGTGTGAGCCGTTAGTGGCTACAGTGCTAAGTCCTAGGCCACTTCAGTATGGCAAATGGATCAAGCACCACAGACAATGGGCCAGAGACAACAAGGCTTGTCGTTATCATGTTGGAGTTGAAGAAATTTTGTGCTGGAATGAACTGTTCTATCAGCCACATCTTGACCAGGTGGCTATACACGAGGCCGTCGCGAGGTTCAAGCAGTTCCCAGGAGCTAAGTTCATTACCACCCGACGTGAGATGGAGGCGATGCTCGATTTTTCTCACTGTTGATTTCTCAACCGTGGCCGGCAGGCAACCGCCCTGCTTGCGGGATTGAAGAACTTGTCATTCTGCAATACCAGCCAGAGCTTGCATTGCACGCCCCACCTGACTCGAAATGATGATGACTATCTACCATGCTTGACGTGTGGCACACAGTGTAAGCTTGACCGTTGTGCAAACTTGGAACCCATGACTTGGACCTCATGCCTCATGGTCAGGCCAAATGGAAAGTTCTTGGCCTTCAGCATTGATAAACCAAGATTCTTCTTGGGTCGTGAGTGCTGCATATTGATGGGAATGCCACTTCATCGTATGTCTTGCGCTGCGTCAGAGAGCGTTACTTGGACCCAATTCTAGAGTATTTCAATAAAGGGTTGTCGGTTCAATGCGGTAGTAAGGTGAATGCCTCGTTGGCGGGGAATGCAATTCATGTGAGATGCATTTTAGCAATTCTATGTGCTGCGATCTCCAGCACTCGCCCAGAGCTTATGGGACACATCTGAAGAAAAAACTGTGTCTTTCAGCACTGCACGTGAGCGCCACTGGAACACTGTTGCTTTTTTTCACTGAGTCCGCTGCGTTCCGAATCTCTAGTGAAACAGTCAGCCAGCACCTACAGTGAGACCTCATAGGAAGTGTGCATGGAATTGTTGAAAAAGGGTCATGGGGTCAAGGACTTGTTTCTTTGTTGGCTTGGGTAGCGTGCAATGCCGGTCCTGCAGCGCTACGATGCTGAAACCAATTCGTTGGTCCCTAATGCTAGCTTGGGAAGATATGATGCTACGAGTTCATCAAGTGAAAGTGAATCTGAGCAGCTTTCTGGCATTCTTGTTTGATTCCTTCCACACTTCTACAACTCTTCTCCAGCAAGCCCTAAGGTATGAACATGATGCAAGTTCTTCAGATGACTCTGATGGTGAGTCCACTTCGTCTGAGGGAGCTGAAAGAGGCTATGTGGATCTTACTTTGCAAAGGCTACAAACCATGCGTGCAGTGGCCTCAGAAGTTGACACTACAGCAAACAAAATCTCTTCCCACGGAAAAAGTAGGGCTCGAATCGAACGGGTACTTCGTCGGCCAATCTGTGAATGCGCTTGCCGATTGCCATTTGGTACTTTGCTACGCTTGCGCATGGCTTTTTGGCTTCTTTCCAAAAGGGCTCAAGATACAGTCTTGTGGGAAATTCAACGAGAACATCCAGGTGGAGGGAAACGGGATTGGTATCTTGAAGGACGGTTCCCTACAAAATGTTTGTGCAAGAAATGATACCCCTGATGGTTCCACATGATTGTTGCATCCTCCCAGGACACCATGTATGCAAAATGAGCTGGATGTATGTGATGGGTATTGGTCGGAAGCGATTGGCAAGGACCAGCAACATCGTGCATGGAAAAGATATGAGATCCTTGAACCGAGACTTCCCTGCATTTAGTTGAACTTACATTCACTGACTACAGTGTCCTGGGAGTCCAGCATGCTGCGTCGCTGCCCTCAGGTCCTCAAGGAAACCGGTCTGCAAAGTCATCCTCCTGCCAGGCTTTCTTTGTGCATATGTATTGGAGTGCAGGTGAGCCTATGTCAAAGGAGTGGCTTGGCATTTCATATAGGGTTTACTTGGGAAAGAACACCAGGTAAAGGACTGAGCAAATCACAACCTGAGGATCGCTTCAAAAGCATCTTTGAAACAAGCTGACGAGAGCCTTCGTGAGGAACTCCTGGAGAGATTGATCGACTCACGTTTGATGTCTCCATATGTTCAGTTGGGTTTCAACAGTGACCCGCGGCGGCTTCCCATGCGGGAGCTTCCGCACGGATCTTGGAGTGACATGTTCTTGCTCTACCAATCCTACGCAAAGACTACCCGAGAGCCCATAGCATCCCGATCAACGTTCTTCAAAAATGTCGCCAAGTGGAAGTCATGCTTGAAATTCCATCAACGGTCGCATCACGCGCAATGCCTTGTATGTTCACGCTATCGAGCAGCGCTCCATGCCACTGACGATTCTTAATTGCACTCTTTTCCTTGTCCGGGTGTCTTCTTGTTGTATTCTCCAAAAACCATCCCAGGACTTTGAAGTATCAGCCAAAATAAGTGACCGCCTTCTTGCCCATTACTCACAAACCTGGAAAGATCGTGAAGTTTATTGGGTTGCGAGGGAACGGGCCAAGTGCCAACGTGACATATTAGTGCTCATCCTGGACTCCTACGACCATGCAAAACTGTCCCTACCAGCTTGGCCATTGCGAAGATGTCCTAAAAGGGCTCTATTTGAAAACACCCGGCGCGCTTCCCTCAGTAACAGGTTTGAGTTTAAAATTGAACAGTTCGTCGCGCATCAAAAGCAAATCCCAGGACTCCACTTGACGCTGACCGGCGTCATTGTGCATGGCCGTGGTGTCTACATGTTCATGAGCGACGAAGGCATGGCAGGCGGCTCAAACTGGAGCATTGAATGTGCCACTTAGACTAAAGCCTAACAGGGTGCTATATGGTGTTCCAGGACCCCTTCCCGTCCATCCAGCCTACTCCAAGGCCATGAGAAGCGTTGAGTATGCATGGACAAAAGCCCGCTCCTGCAACGAGAGTTTTCCACAAGAGCTTTGCTCTTATTTTGAACTCTTTTGAGATATTACTCAGGACACTGTGGTATCACCTTTGTTCACTATTGTTCACTCAGGCTTTGGGTCCAGGGAGACAACACTCCCAAGGAATTGAGAAACTCTTGGATTGGCAAATGGGCCTGTCTTCTATCACAGGCAGGATACTTCCGCGGAGTGTCCCACCACCACTTGGTGGTGGGACACACTCATGAGGACATAGGTGGGACTTTGCTCAAAAACATTTTTTCTTGGTGTGCTGATGATATGGATTCAGTTGTTCTCTGCCTTTAGCACCCTGTCTAGATGGCATCTTCTCTATCTGTACTGCTGCGCTCCGATCTTATCCAAATTTGCAAACCCCTGAAGACATACGAAGGTGCCTTCCTTTACATTTAGTGATTTTTGGGTTTGGGGCGATCTAGAACCAACAAATAAAGCTCTCAGGTGCCTGACACAGAAGCTGGAACCGCTGCTGGCAAAATCCGGCCTTGAGTTCAAGATCGAGCACATTGATACCGCTGCTTGGTACCAAAAAGTGTAGCCAACCTCAGTCAGGACTCAGCTTGTCGCTTTCTTGGCACAACACGAGGTCCGCAACTGGTGTCACATGATGCCCACGACAGCGACCATGAAGAATGCTTACAAAAGTAGACCAACTGACGAACAGAACAACATGGCAGTGCCCCAAAGCTTTAGCTTTATGTGTCGGCAAGGCACAATGTTGAAAGTAGTTCTGAAGTTGTGTTTTTAGCCTTTTACATTTCTAGGGAGTGCCCTTCTCACCCCAACACAAGAGATACAAAAGTGAGCCACCAAGGCTTGCAACAGTATAGAGCCACCAAGGCTTGCAACTTGTATAGAGCCACCAAGGCTTGCAACAGCATAGAGCAACCAAGGCTTGCAACAGTAAAGAGCCACCAAGGCTTGCAACACAAGAGATACAAAAGGCTTCCAACACTATAGAGCCACAAGGCTTGCAACTCAGAGCCACAAGGCTTGTAAGACAAAAGTAACCCAAACCTCCAAATCCAGAGCCACAAAGGCTTGGCAAACAAAAGCTATATATTATAGAATTGCTTGCAATACAAATGTAGCAGGGCTATAGCCACAGAGGCTTGCAAAGCAAAAGGCATAAAGGCTTTAAAAGCATATGCATTCCATTCACACAACCAAGCACATTTTTTGACAACATTTTCCACCACAGTTTCCATCGCAAGCAGGAAGGCAAGACCAGCACTTCATTTAGTGATCTTGGGTCTTTTTGTTGGCTTTGCAGGAATGTCATCAGTAGGCTTTTCCACAAGCAATTGGTCACCAGCTTTCAATGCCTTGGGGGTTGTGAAATAAGGCAACTGTACTTTTTCAATTGTTTGCAAGCCAGCAACCATTGTGGCTTCATCGCCTTCTGCAGTGCTTTTCACCCAATGGTAAGCATCCAGTACACCTTTCTTTTCATCAAAACTGGAAACAGCCTTGAAGCTGCTAATGGAATATGGCTGGCCAGCATAGGTTGCAATCAACTTCCCTTTTGTCTTTCCATCTTTGATCTTGCTGACAGTGCCACTGGGAAACAATTTCAATTCACCTTTCTTTATGGCTTTGCAAGCCCACACTGCAGTGGGACCATGAGTGAACATCAATGAGCCTTTGGCAGGAGCATGTGCCTGGCAGGCTTCCAGCAAAACAGTTTGCACCTTGGCCTTGGCAATTTCATCCTTCAACATTGCAGAGTTGTGTACCATCAACTCTTCCATTTCATTTCCTTCACACTTCTCAGCCTCTTGCCCTTTGTGCAATTTCCATGCTTTCAATTTCTCCAGAGAAACCTTGACTGATTCTGTTTCCCCAAAAATGGCTTGTGCTCAAAGGTGAAGCCATCATCTTCTGTTTTCACCAATTGGAACTGTTTCTGGCCATGCTCCTTCTGATGAATGTACCTGAAATGAGAACTGGAACAGCTCTTTAGCAAACACAAAAACCCAACACCTCTATCAACATTTTAACAACTATCAACATTTCAACAATACTTGGC